GCTCAGCCTGGAATACCTCCCAGCAGCTGCAGGCCACGGCCTGCCCTTCTTACAGGAGGGGCCCAGCATGGCCGTAGGGAGAAGGCCTACAAGGGCAGGATCTATTTCACCTAAGTATAGATGAAGAATGTTCTGCTTCTTCATCTGAAGACTGATGGACTCTGTGCTGAGACAAATAACTGAGCATGACCAGTGTCATCCCAATTAAAATCTGACAAAGGTTAAGGAACTAAAACTCATCTCCCATGAAGGAGATGGCTGGACTTGTTTATCTGCAGCAGGAATAGCCTGCCACTTCACACTAATGGCAGTCGTATTCCTGCTGGTTTAACCAGGTGCCAAATGGGATGATCTTCTCACTTACAACATATAATTGATAAGGAAACAATAACAGGAGGTTTCCAACAGCTAGAAACAAAACAGATCCCAGGAAATAAAGTTTTTTATTCATACTCCTGTCTCATTTCTACAAATCCCCCACCACACCGCTAACACGGTGCCAGGGGCAGAAAGCCCCATTGTTCTCAACCCGCCATGCCTCAGTGATCCAAAAGCTTCTGCACTGAGTCACTGATGTTGCTTTCACTTGCCAGGAAGAGCATATAATTGTTCACTGCCAGCATTTCAACCATGTTTCTAAGAATTGGGAATGCTGTCAGGACATTTGGAATATTCAACTTCGTGTCTGCTGTTGCTGACGCTATTTCCATTTTAGGCCTGGTTACATCCATGCCCGCACTGAAGGAGTAGCAATGTTTTCCTGTTAAGATAGCAGCCCTGCTTTTGGGAGGCCACAAAAAGCCTCCAAAATGGGGCTTAGGTACCTACTACCCATTTTCATTTTCAGCAAATTGCAGTAGCTAGTACTAGTGTTTAATCCTTTCTAACAACTTAACAGCAATCTTGAAAGAAAGCTTCTTTTTTAAAAGCTCTGTCTTATGGCATTCTGATCCAAATCCAGCAAATGCTTTATTCCCACTGACTGTGGCTGTGCCAGAGATTTGAGACTGGACATGGAAGAGGAAGGTGACTTTTAAAGGAATTTGGAGTTTGGGCTTGTTTTGCTGACATAATAAAGAAAACAGTTAAGCTTTTCTTCATTTCTTTGTAAAGATTGTTCATTTCCTTCTTATATTTTATTGGAAAAAATGGGAGGAAACTCAGATTCTCACACCCTTAGTGTTGGGAAAACCCATTAGCAATCCCAGCAAATGTTTTTGTCACAAACATCGTTAGACATTTTAAAATGAAACAGCAATTCACAGAATCACAGAATCACAGAATGGCCAGGGTTGGAAGGGACCACAAGGATCATGAATCTCCAACCCCCCTGCCACATGCAGGGCCACCAACCTCCTCATTTAGTGCTAGACCAGGCTGCCCAGGGCCCCATCCCCATCCAATCTGGCCTTGAACACCTCCAGGGATGGGGCATCCACAACCTCTCTGGGCAGCCTGTTCCAATACCTCACCACTCTTTCTGTAAAGAATTTCCCCCTGACAATTAAACTGGAAAAGAAATTAATAGTTGTAATGCTACAATATCCTGTCCTATTGATTGTTTTCTATGCTTAATCATAGAATCATAGGTTGGAAAAGACCTCTAAGATCATCCAGTCCAACCACCCACCTACCACCAATATTGCCCACTAAACCACATCCATCAGTGCCACATCTCCATGTTTCTTAAACACCTTCAGGGACGGTGACTCCACCACCTCCTGGGCAGCCTGTGAGAGTGCCTGACCACTCTTCCAGAGAAGTTTTTCCTAATATCCAACCTGAAACTCCCCTGGTGCAACTTGATATTACCAGCTCTCTGGCTATTCCACAGTTAGAACATCTTCCTAAATTTCTAACACTACAGGGGAAAGATAGGCTTTTTTATGTGTGTGTGTGTTAGTATTTCAAATTATCCTTATGCATACCACAAAAAAAGAAAAAAAAAAAAAAAAAGTAAAAACAAATATGAAAATCCCTTAATCCACGAGACTGTTTTGTTTGTATTTTTAGTTTAGCCTCAAGGTTCATGGCCAAGATGGGAAACCAGACAAATTTTTTGGCTGGCTCTGCTGCAGAGTCCCAGGTTACTGTGGGAAGATAAATAATATAGTTTTTCCATCTTGTCATATGTATTGCATACATATCTATTATCAGACAGAAACATAGAGCTTATAAATGACTCCAATCTCTTTTATTCCAGTGCTTTTTGAGGTGTCTAAAACAAATGAATATTGTTTCCTTGAAATGGAGGCTAATAAAATTGTTCTGAAGAGACCAGGGAGCAGCAGGTCTTTGCCAGTGGCACACGCTGAACACCCAGCCAGCTAAGTGCAGCTCAGGTGGGCTAAAGAGAAAAGGAAACAGTTAAAAGGAAAAATAAAAAAAGAAAGAGCAACATAAAAGGAGTTAAAAAATCATGCTAAATGCAGACAGGTTTCATTCTCACCAATTACTGCATGAGGCACTGACCTGAAAGGTGATGGCAGTCAATCTGGTAATGACTGCCCAGAAAGGAAATGGGTCCACTCTGCAGAACTGAGTGTGCAAATGTGTACCTTGCAAACATGGGAAAATTGGAGCTGGTTAATCTGGCAAGTGCAGTACCATTCAGAAGAGCCTTGTTGCTCACCTGTCTCAGCCAAAACTGTTGCTCTGGGCACAGCCACACAAACAGCCCACTGCCCGATCCAACCCAGTCTGCATATTGCCAGCCTGGAAATAAGAGGAAGCAGCATTGATCCAGGCTTGAGACAGTCTTCTGTCTCATTGCTTAAGGAAATTTGTATGTTGTAAGATGGAGAGCAGAGACAGCACCACTAAGCTGTTATATTAAGGGCATATGAAGGGATTTTGTGAAATCTACACCAGCACAGCAGGGAACACCTGAAGCTCCCTGTGATTTTGCCCCTCCCTCTCACTTACAGTAGTACAGCCTCTTCCTGCAAAGGCAGAAGGTGAAGCCAGATGGATCTGGGGCTCAATTTACCACCAAATACACACTGACAACATCAGCATGCAACAGGAGAGGTTTGCAAAGCAAAATAGCAGTTGGTGACCACCCACTGCCCTCATGTACACATCTGGGGAAGTTATTTCTACTTCTAGTTTGGTCCTTGGGACCAAAGAGTCCAGATTGCTCTGCTGCATCTCTGGTGGAACCTACACCTGGGAAATGGAGATCAGAAGATTAGCAGTGGAAGCACTCCCCATGCTACCGATGAAGTCAGGCCCAAATTTCTTTTTCATTCCCCATGATAAAGATGAATTTACCACATCATTCCATGTAGAAATATGTTTTCTTTTTAGGTAAGGCATTATGACTATAATTAGCCAGCAGTTCTGGACACAAGAAATTCCTCCGGGGGACCACACACAAGATTAAATATGCGAGCTATTAAAGGTCAAGGCACAGGAAGGCATAGACAGGAAAGTAAATCATTGTAGCCTGCAGATTTGATTGCATAAGGAGGGAAAGCACTGGGTAGCTGGGATTCTCAGCATTCAAGGTAAAGAAATGATTATTTTTGTTCACAGGAAGAGCTTGTTAACATACCCAGACACTGTTAAATGGAACCATTTCTATATGCTTCTCCGAGGTGAAATCAGTGGCCTTAAATTATTATCACAAGCCAAACAGTCGGAGATGCTTGGGATCATTAGCACAAATCCCCTGGACAAACTTAAAAAGCACAGAGAAATTAGCAGAGAAACAAGTTTTCAGTAATTACCCCAGGAATTTAGTAATTCTATTTTGTTTGCTTTTATGTGCATTTGAAAAACCATGGGGCTCATCTCAGCAAAAGACCATTAAACAGATCATTACAGCCCTGGTCCTTCACGGCAAGGGAAAGGCTCTGAGCCCTGCGTATAGACCAGGCAGATGCCTTCTTCCACACCATCCTATTTCTCACATCCTCAGTGGTGCTCTCCATACCAACCAGGCTTGAACAGTGGTGTCATAAATCATCCTGATTTGGCTGGGTGACTGAAACTCCCACATTAATGTGGCACTATGACCACAGCGCTACCCCATGGATATAACAGTTCCAAACACCCAAATGTGGTATGATTCCTAGGTACTGGAGAAACAGTATACTTGAACAAACAATGGTGGCTCTTAGTGCAGCAGGTGTCAGTCTTTGTTTATGGTGATGGTTTCAAACTCTGAGGTTCCTGAGTGAAAAAGAGCATAGAATAACCTACTGTAGGGAAGCTCCTTTAGGAGGGGGCTGGACTGGATGACTCCAGAAGCCTCCCAACCTCTATGATTCTATGCTAATATCAGTGGCCTATTTAAGGCTTATTCCACTGAACTTTGCTGAGTGTTTTGATGATGTTTGTTACCTACTCATCCTTGAGATATCTTTTACTTTTGATTTCCTAGGCAAGTTAGGGTATCTACTAATCTTACCTTTTAAGGTGGCATTTGAAGAAGAACCAAGGAATGGTTGAAGTCTTCCTTTGATACCAGTGAGACTTCTGCTGCTCACTGCAGATATAACACATGTCAAGAGTGGTTTTTAAAAAAAATCAATGCTACAAATCAGAATTTCTACCGACTTCAGGAATCTCTCCTGAGTAACAGTGAATAAGAATGACCTTGTTGTTATACAGCCAGTGGGCAGATCTTATTCAGGGTGCAGGGAAGCACCACACACTGAAGATGTTCTGTTCTTTACGTCACCATATCCTCACTGAGTGACTCAGTACAAGGTTTGGATTAGATCAGTATGGTATTCTTCACTACAGCCAAAAGCAGATGACTGCATGGAAGTATAAAAATATTTGTTTGTTGAATATTCTCTTCCAGCAACTCGTAGCTCAAGCACTTCCCAGACTCTAAGAGGCGTCTTTAACAAACTCTGATAGATTCCTCTTTCATGAGTCTAGCTGTATCTCCTTGACTCCATATAAATTTTTAGCATCCACAACATCTTTATATGAATCAAATTCAGTCTCCAAATATCTATGACTAATCAATCCTTTAAGCAGCTTCGTGTATATCTGAACTCCCACTGCAATACTTACTATTAATTTGTAATCATTAACTTGCATTGCTATTATTTTTGCTCTCAGAAGTGTATTTTACAGATGGCTGTCTAGAAACATGGGTATGTGATTTTCCTTCACTTTTATTTCTCATTGGGTTCAAAGTTTCATAACAATAGAATGTAAAAGGGTCACAAGGAAGATCAGAAATATAGTAAGGGCTGAAAAATTGGATTGGGGGTTTAAGAATGAACCAAAGAACTGGTGCAATACTGACTACACTCACTCCAGATGTTGCTGTTGAGATATAAGAATATAGATAACAAGTCACAGTAAAATCCCTCCCTCTTCATGTCTTAGGGGTTTAAACTGTCACAGTTAAGAGCAGAGTGATTGATGGGAAATGTGGTTGACACACGCATGTGTACACACATGCACACGCCCAAATAGTCAGGAATCCCTGATGAGATTACTGACACTCACATATCTCAGAGAAAAATGCTTTTTCTGTACTCTGTATTAAATCTAACAACCACAGGGATTGGTCATTTACAGTCTCTTTTCATTAGCTAATGCCTAAGTGCCCCATGAGTGTGCTGTGTTTTCCTGACCTTAAATTACAGGCTGCCTTGTGTACTCCAGTGTAGCAAGCTCAGCTAGAATGCAGAAGTATCAGTTTCAATTAATATATTTCTTCAGATCCAGCCAAAATCACCAGTGCCTGGGCTAGATCTTAAATACCATGTGTGAATTAGCTTTACTAAAAATGTAGCACAGAACTAATATGAACAGATGATCCACCATTCATCTGTGAAACACCCAAATTAGTGAAATCAGCATTTTAACTGTGACCCAAATAGTGATGTATATAGAGTTCCATGTTATTAGTGCTGTACCATACAACAAGCAGGTTATGCAAAACAAGCAGAATCTTGTAGAGCAACAGAGATATCCATTATAAGTTCTAATTACCAAAGAAAATATCTTTTGTAAGGGTTTAAATTTAACTCTACTGCTTTCCAGGTCTTCTGATGAGCTAGCTGTTATTAATGTCAAAAGGTGATGCCTGTCAGCCAAGAACTACACCAGAGTCCGTAATTGAATTTCTAGAGTTGTCAAGAAGAGTCTAATAAAATAGCTGCTACTGGGAGTGATGCATGTGAAAGAAAAGCTCTGGTCTGGCAGGATGCAAAGTATGTTGTGTGGTTTTCCAATGTCATTTCAAATAATATGTTCAATTTTTCTGAGCTGCATTTGCCTGGCATTCTTCTCCTGTATAATAATGATTCATTATATATAATTTATTCAAAGACTATAACTCACCCCTAAGTGCCTATAAATATTACTGGAGCTAGACATTTGCATTGTAAAACAAATGCGTAACACTGGGATTTATGAAGGATCCTTTCACATCAGTTCCTTGATAGAAAAGAGGGATTCTTCTGAAGTAAAACAGACCTTGAAATCATCTTTAAAATCTACCACAGGAAACAATTAACAGCTCTTTCTTCCCTGTGTTGGTTGGGTAATTTAACAATTTAGGGAAGGGTTGAGGACCAGATATTCCTTGCTCAGGGTAAATGGATATTGCTATACTGCTGTTTCATCAGTATTACTGGGAATGTTCCCATGGTTATAATAGTCATGCATAATATCTGACCTCCCACTGCTTTGCAAAAGCGTGAGCCATTTCTTAGTGGTGGTGGCATGCTGACAGATGTCACTGCCATAAGGAAAGGTGAAAGCAAAATATAATCCCGTCTGGAACAAAGGCTGCAGACTGTGGCACCACACAAGGAAAGGGTGTTAAGGAAAGGGTGTGGGATGCTGGCAAACTGGTATGTAAGTATGTAGCAATTCTAACTCCAATGCAAGATGACAATACTCAGCCAGGACACACTGAGACATGACATGTTGGTATTGTAGTGATGTCCTGACTTGGCTTGCTGCCTCCCTCACTGGGTGGGTGCTCAGTCTAGAAAACAGACCGAGAGGCATACTTTGTTCTCTTCTATGCTGATGAGAATTAGAAATTACAAATTCAAGCTGCAGTAAGGAACAGTTATATCAGACAGCAGGAAAAGATTTCTAATAGGATGGCCAAGAACTATAATAGAAACCCCATGGAGGCTATGACATCTCCAGCACTCTGCCCAGCCACACTTTTACAGGCAGGTTAGAAAAATGCCTATGAGAGAGAACACATAGGCATAATTACAGCCACTGCAAGAAAAGTTCACTGGCCATGCTCAAAGATCTCTTCAGTCTGTCTATTGTTCAGTCACCTTTTTCAGCTCTGGCACTTGCCAAACTTTGCAGCAGCAACCTCACACCACCATAACACCCTGTCCACAACAATAAGAGTTGCGTGGGACACAGGCCAGACGTTCTGGCTTTAGGCAGGACAAACTGGTCTTCACAGACCCCTGCCAGGTTTCTATTCTATTATTTTGCTAACTTATTAGAAGAAATCTTAATAATTTTACTATGTTGAACCTTCACTAGGGGTGAAGATCTGCACTCAGTCTGCTGATTGTTAAATTCACGACCCTCCATATGGTAGCTTTAGCAGTGTTCAGGTCAAGTGCCAGGCTGTAGGCCAAAAATACAGAAATACAATCAGTTTCCTGCATAGTACTCCATCAAGTGGAGATGAAGATTCCTCAACACTCAGTTAAATATGCAGTGGTTGGCTCATGACACCAGGCTGTGCAACAGGAAGGCTGTCCTGACTTCAGTCCTCTGCTACTCTCTCCAATGTCTCTGGCAAGTCATTTGTTCTTTCCTTTGTGCCTTCGTTCTCCATCTGCAGAATGGGATAAACTATCTTCCTAATTTCATCAGGACACTGTGAGAACAGACAGGATCAGGTACTTTCTTTGCCCATATATAGTCTTACCATTAGCTGCTCTGAAAGGAAATAGGAGCATAGTTACATTCCTGGTTTCATACTTATTTGCACAGGTTTTTAGCTCAGCCTGCACTTTAATTCCATCCTTTAACTCCAATCTGCTGCTTTTGTACAACCTAGAGAACAACAATAACAGTAACTTCTGCAGATTAGCAGATTATTTTTTATTTTACTGAAACATATTCTACATAGGTAGAATGGTTACACTGTACTGGTTCCATTAAACTAAAATACTATTATAATATTTTTCATTGGCTTAAAAAAAGAAATAATAAAAGAGATAATTTCATTTATGTTATATATATAATGCTCTCTATTCATTTTGTTCTATATTAGAAAGGCAAATTTGGGGATAGTGACATGGCTTAAATATATTAACATTTTCCCTCTGGGCAGTTTGCCTTCATATTTGGATATGACACATGTGGAATGAGTTCAGGAATCTCCACCTGACAACATATTAACCCACAATGGGTGTAAATTCAGCCATTCAACCAGAGTGCTTGAGCTGGGAAAGAGTAGTATGGAACTCCTAACACACTATTCTTACTTTTCCTGCACATTAAACTTTCTCCAGTACATTTTCTTCCTATGCTTTTATTATGGATAATCCCAACTCTCTTTACAAAGACTACCACAGTAAGGAACATATCGCTGTTGATGAAATATTTAATGATGTATGAAATATTTAATAATTCTAATGTAGGGGAATTAATCACTATGGATCCTGCTTGAACTCATGGGAGAAGGGAAGGAAAAGAGAGGGAGTGACTCCAGACACTAAGTCAGAGTTCATCTATTAGGACACCTGCATTGAATCAACTCCTGCAGAAATCTCCTTCTTTTGCTAAGTACAGCAAAAATCCAGGAAGACATGTCTGGAAACAAAAAAATAGCCCTTCTGTATCTTGTGTAGGTTTGGAAGAGTCCCACAGCATCCAAATCTCCCACATGCTGCAACTTATGTGTACGTTTGGAGCTGCACCCTTAGCCATCTTCAGCCATTTGCTATCTCTCCCAGGGGACAGAGATGCATAGTGTCTACTGTCTGCCATCCTACAAGTTCTGTAAGCTGGCATTTATGCAACAAAGGCAGCAGAACAATGAGGTTTAGCTGGGATTTCAGTATTTCTCTGAACTAGAGAGGAACTGCTAACCATACTTAACAGTTACTGGCTATAAATTACTGAAATGCCAGACGAGGAGGAAAAGGCTGCTATAAAAATGCACAGGAAAAAATCAACATTACCCTTCCAGTGAGCTGAAATGCCTATAATGATGAGAAAAGCATCCTGTCCTCCCTTACCATTTGTTGGATATTGTTCGTACTCGCCATTTGTGCAATACAATTGCATAGTCTGGACTAAACTGGACAAAATTTTATTATGCTGATACTAAAATAGCAGTGGTACAATCTGTAGTGCTGTGCCCTTGTCCATGCTCTCTAAAGCCCTGAAAGTCTAAGGCAACATTGGACTACAACTGCACTGTTTTGAAAACATCACGTCGAGCCTTTGATAGCCAAATTTGGTGCTCTCTGAATTGTGGTACACAAAAGAGCACAATGGCAATAAGGAAATCTGGCCGATTCCAGATACAGTAATTTGAGCTCACAAGGAATTTGGGCCAAGAAGGTATTGATTACATATTAAAAATAGATCTATTTAGAAAAGACTTGTATCTTGGTCATTGATGGATTCGTTTTCCTGGATATACTGCAGAATGTCCACTTCATTCATTGTCTGAATTTTGTCTTCCTTTGACTTTGCCAGTGGAGATGAATTTGTGTTTCTGCAGAAAACTGCTGTCTTCTGAGGCAACGGTGGTTTCGGTGGTACCTTAGGTTTTGGTTTGGAGGTTAATTTCAAGAGTTTTTCTAAATCATCTTCAACTCTGGAATGAAAAGAAAACACCAGAAACTCCTCAGTGACTCAGCTTTGGAATTTTGGAACTGCTTCTTCTTTGCAGGGTTTTTTAATGATTTTTCAACTCATCACGTAAACTAATTTATTTTACTGCATGATTTCAACCTAAAAACAAATTGAAATTATGAGAATAAGAAGAATGTGACATGAGTTTTGGGGAAAAAAAAAAAAGCTTTGGATTTGTTACAGGATAGCTTGCTTTTCCAAGAGCTGAGAGTTTTTGTGGGATAGTAAACATTTTCATGTGCTGCTTTGCTTTCCTCTTTCTCTTCCCCAAGACAGACACGCTCAGTCACAAGAAACTGGAAAACATAATGGCTTTAGAAGCACTGCATTCATATCTGATTCCAAGAAATGGAGGGAGTTTTGCAATCTGTGACTGTGTACAACAATTCTTTTTTGGTGACCATTTTTCACAATTTGTAGTGATAGAACCGGAACATTTGGAACAGTTAAGATTGATTTCTACCTCGATTGTTTGGCCTTATCAAAAGGCACAGCATGCTGTGTGCACCCAACTCTGCTCCCATTGCAGCTGTTAAAGAATTTGAGAACACCCTTACAACAGACAGTGGTGTGACTCCAAGAGATGGCTACCTTACCTTTGGGAAGTTGGTATGTGAAGGAAAGAGAAAGTAAGGTGTGATACAACATATCTCTGAAAGAGGAAGTACAGAGATGTACTTCAAAAAGATATGAATGAAAAGATGTGAATGTAAATATGAAATGATGAAAAGATGACAAGGGGGAATGGTTTTAAACTAAAACAGGGAAGATTTAAGTTAGATATTAGGAGGAAGTTTTTCACACAGAGGGTGGTGACACACTGGAACAGGTTGCCCAAGGA